ATGACCCATCGGCACCCACAGAGATCCACACCGACGCTAGTGGTGTCGCGCTAGGCGCTATTCTTGCACAGCAGAAAGACGGCTTCCAAGAGTACGTGGTTGCCTACGCAAGCCGAACTCTTAGCAAAGCCGAAATCAACTATTCCATCACTGAAAAGGAATGCCTCGCCATTATTTGGGCGATAGAAAAATTTCGACCTTACGTGTACGGGCACCCTTTTCAGGTCGTGACTGACCACCACGCCCTTTGCTGGCTGTCGTCACTGAAGGATCCAAGCGGTCGCCTCGCCCGATGGGCATTACGCCTCCAAGAATATAATATTTGCGTGGTCTATCGCTCCAGCCGAAAACATTCCGACGCAGACGCCCTATCCCGTTCGCCCCCACCCCCTGACCCGGACTGCTGCGAAAGTCTAACCTGTGATGCCACTGCCAGTCACCATCGCCAGCATGCCATCTGAGCAACGCAAGGACCCTTGGGTTGCTTAGATTCTAGACATCCTGGCTGGGCGGACGGCTTCCCCCCTTTCTCGCACGTTGCGTCGGCAAGTCGAGCACTTCGCCACTCGCGACGACGTGCTGTACCGCAACAACTACGCACCCGGTGGACGTCAGTGGCTACTCGTGATTCCACGTCATCTGCGATCCGAAATTTGTTCCACGTTTTATGACGACCCCCAATGTGGCCACGCAAGTTTCCTGAAGACTTATTCTTGCATACGTCTCCGATATTACTGGCGTGGCATGTACCGTTTTATACCACAATACGTTCGGGCCTACTCGACGTGCCAGAGACGAAAAACTCCCCCTTATCACGCCAGCGGTAACCTTGTTACCCTTACCATGCCCATCCCGACCATTCGACTGCGTCGGCATCCATATCTATGGTCCCCTTCCCAACACTTCTGACGGTAACCGCTGGATCATAGTTGCCGTCGACCATCTCACGCGGTATGCCAAAACTTCATCCCTTCCCTCGTCTACAGACGTCGCGACTTTCGTTCTTCACAACATGGTGTTACGTCATGGAGCACCTCGAGAGTTACTGAGCAATCGTGGTCGCGTATTCTTGTCAGACATCATCACAGCATTGCTGCGTGAGTGCCACGTCGTTCACCGCACTACAAGCGCCTATCATCCCCAGACCAATGGAATGACAGAGCGCTTCAACCACATCCTTGGTGACATGCTGTCTATGTATATCTCGTCAGACCACTCCAATTGGGACCGAGTGTTCCCGTTTATCACGTTCGCCTATAATACCGCCATTCAAAGCACTACTGAGTTCTCTCCTTTTTTCCTCCTTTACGGACGCGAACCTTTTTGCACTATGGACATCATTCTTTCGTTCAAACCTGACTCCTCAGAGTCCACGACTTTGTCTCAAGCCGCTACATACGCTAAAGAATGCCGCCAACTGGCAATATCATTCACAACCCAAGACCAAGGACGCCAAAAGCACCACCATGTCGCATCAAATAACACTACTTCCTACGATCCAGATTCACTCGTCTGGCTGCATGTCCCTTCTGCTACACCTGGCCTTTCTACCAAGTTGGTCCCCAAGTATCAAGGCCCATATCGTGTGCTACAAAAAACGTCACCGGTGAATTACCTCATCGAGCCACTGGAACCATCTTCTGACCAACGTCGACGTGGCCAGGAAATTGTCCACGTCTCGAGACTTAAGCCCTGCTACGACCCTCTCGTGTTTACTTGTCCATAGGTCGCCAGGATGGCTCCTTATTTTGCGGGGAGTAATTGTAATGAATCTGAATAACGGACGCTCTGCTGGTAATGAAGAAGATGATGATGATCGGTGGCTGTAGTAGTAGCTCGCGTACGCCGCTTGCCATTAGCCAGACCTGCCTGATAAAGCACATTTTGCCAAGCTGCGTCTGAACCTTTCTCGACGTACACCACCTCTATTTTAATATATATATATATATATATATATATATATATATATGATGCTATGATGAATAGGTGACGTGGCCTGGCTGGCCTGGCTCATGCGCCATGTTTATTCCATTCTCACTTCTTCCTCTACTTCTCCTAACCATTCCTGCCTTCTTAGTCACAGGATTCCCCCTTCCCCCCGAAAGAAGTTGAGTCAGACGAACAGAAATTATAAACTGAACATGCACGACTAAAGAATGAACACCGTCAAAAAAGGGAAGATCGTTCCATGTCCCAGGAAGTTTCCGTAAACACACGTTAGCTTCACAGGAGAGTGCAGCAATCCGGTAAGTTCTGGAGTTCTGGTGGGTGAGGCTGACTGTTGCGTACTGAAAAATACAAGTACACCTTGAACGTTGAAACTGCAGATGATGAAACTGATTGTATACTTGCAAAGAATGAACGTGGTGCGAAGGCTTTGGAGCACCAGCAGCATGATTTGCGTAGGCGTCGTGCTCTTTGCCTTGATTGGTACACATGCAGTGCCACCCGTCTGTGTGTTTGTTGACCAAGGCTGATGCGGTGATTTCTGCGTCCTTCCGTAATACAGGGTATGGTTTTGCGCCTTCTTCGTCGCTTTGTGTCCTGTAGTCTGAACAGCTTTGATTGTAGACTGAATCTTGATCTCTTCTGGAGAAAACTTCTGTGATGTTCCTTTTTGCGAAAATGTCCTGAATTAGAAGACTTGTTTGTTTTAAGCAAGACATATTTAATTTGTCGTCGCTTCCCTTGACCCGCTTGTAGACGCCTTTCTTTATTCCTCGCGTGTTCTTCCAAAGATTTTTCCATTCGTAGTCGTCCTTGCTGGTGTAGCCCATGGAGACTCTGTTGTTCTTGGGCTTGCTTCTGCTGGCATTGATAGTGTTCATGTGGTAGGAGCTGAGGTGGCAGCCGTTTTTGACCATGGCACTGATTTTCTGGGCAACTTGATGTGGTGTCCAGTAGGCAGATGGTAGTCAGTGGACTGTTTTGCTGTATTTCGGGTAATGAAGGTTGTGCACTCGAATTTACTGGAGACTCTTCGGAGGCTCTTGTGACGCCGTTCCTAATGGACGCTTCTGGCTCTCGGCAACGTGTGCGATTTGATGGTTCCGAGCCTCCTGTGTTGTTAAGACTCCCAGGTGTCCGTGCACTGGATGTTGACACTGCAGCAGGCGTAGTTTGGTCAGATTTCAGTCGGAAATGTTTGTCTTTCTGTGTAACTAACAAGTTAAGCTGTTCTGATGCATGCATATGCACAGAAGGGCCAGAGCCTGGCTGAGTATCTTCAGGGTTCCTCACCTCTATATCAACCGTGGTAAGCATGTGAGATACGAGGCGAGCGCTGTGAGCAACTGAAGAGCCAAGCGACGGAAAAGTAGGAGGGGGTCGAAGTGCGCGAGACGGAAAGTACTGGCTCCCTAATGTGAGTGCTACGATGCAGTGATGACGTAAAGGTTGGTTTTCGATCGGGCAGTTGCAAAACGTGGTGCGGTGGAGGGTACACTCTTCCTGCATGCAGATCTGGCTGCCTTTCATTGAGAGGTGCTTTAATTGCTCTTGTTTCAAAGGCCGATTCGTTTTTGGTGTCCCAATGCGTGAGCAGTGCTTTTGACTGCGGCGACCGAGCGTGGTTGTCTGTGGATGGTCGGTTATAAGCGAATTTTCGTCGTAGTCGTCATTGTCTTCTTTAAACCAAATGATTATTTCTTGTTTTATCTTTTCTTATGACTCGTCATTTTGAAATATGTGGGTGAGGTAGAATTTGAAGGTCTCACCGGAGACGTAGTCGGTAAAGTTGATGATCATCTCCCGTTCCGACCATGATGCAGCGATTGCGTGAAGCTCGAACAGGTCGAACCAGTCCTGTACAGGTCCATGGTCCGCTGCTTCAATGTACTTGGGGATGAGAAGGGCAGTCGATGATTCTGGCATGGTGCTGATTGCTGTGTGCGGCCAGGAGATGATTCCGTAGTCGATGTATGGTCACTGCGTCTTGTGGAGAACTGCGTCGATGATGAGGCACTAGTGAAGTGGCTGGAAGGTCTTCATCCTGTCGACTCATGTGACGCTATGATGAATGGGTGTTGTGGCCTGGCTCGTACGCCATGTTTATTCCATTCTCACTTCTTCCTCCTCTACTTCTCCTAACCATCCCTGCCTTCTTACGTCACATACATATATATATTTTTTTTCAGTTCAAAATTACTTTGTGTTTGTAAAACTATAAGCCTTTTACTTAAAGATCCTGCCACCCGGTACTTGCCCGATCCCCCTTTGTGGGTGTGCGCCAGAATAACAAGGATCATTATCATCATCAGCACAGGTGCATGCTCGGAATGTTCGAGAACTGGAGGCATGAGCACTGAGTCCAAGAGAAGAACGAGGAGGTCGTGAGCTGGCATTGTCTTGGGGAACTTGGTGGCCGAAGGTTGCATCATCGGCATGCACCGGTGACGAGCGATGGGCGTTGCTAAAGAGTGGACGTCTTGAGATGGCTGATGACATCGACAGCGGTCCAAAGGAGGCTCCTCAGAGACACATCAGCCATGCCCAGCGAGGATGAGTGTTCCTTGTGCAAGCCTCCTTTCAGAAGTGAGCCACCCAAGGCAATCACCGGAGTGCCACTTAAACAAAGGAAAGCCACGCCGGGTGAAGTCATTGACAGTACCAGTAGCCCGAAATGCCGGCCTGCACGCACAGGCAGTGACAGACGCATCGAGCTGCGAAGTAGATGTCGGAATCGATGAACGACCGAACTTTGGCAAAGAAATTACCAGGTCAGCAGCTTAGGCCGGACCAAGACAGAAGAAGGTGAAGTTTTAAGACGTTAAGGTTTGCGTTATTAGTTCGTTGTGGGTAAAGTCTTAATTATGTTGCTGTTATATTGTTTGTTGTACATTTGTATATATTTCAGAGAGCCCCTTATATTCTTTGATAAATGTTTGTTCATCTTTCGTGTCTGACTAAGTCCATTGTTAAGGCTGCACTCGTAATCCGTGACAAGCATGTTATAAATCAATAACTGAATAAAGGAAATGCTGAAGCAGCACTTCACTTACCTTAGCCCAAGGACAGCACTGAAGAGCTCTGTAAAAGATTGCCTTTGCCGATTCTCTGGCCCCAAGCCTCAGCTGAAAAAATAATGTGCATAGATATATGCATGTGCTTTCTGCTAGTCAGCTATGATTTGCTGCTGAAGAGTACTTGTCACTGAAAGCCACTCCCACTTGGCGCACAACTGATTATGAGAATCCTACGTACATATGACCTAACAAAGAACAGCGATAAATGCAGAATTTCAGCAGCAATGGATCACAACAACAAACTTGATTTGTATGAAGATGGTAATAACAAGTTGGGAAGTTTTGCAGGCTGCAAGCAACTTCTCTGTCTTTTTGGCGATTGATGATAATACTGGCTGTTGAGCCTGCAAATAACACATGAGCCCAGTCACGCATTATTTCTCGTGCCCATTCTGTCTACAGTGTTCTTTGTTCTGGTTAGCTTCACACCCAGATCAGCAATGTATAAAAATTAGGCTTGTGCGAATATTCGAATGAATCGAATATTGCACAAGCCTAATTCGAATGAAAGAACAGCGATAAATGCAGAATTTCAGCAGCAATGGATCACAACAACAAACTTGATTTGTATGAAGATGGTAATAACAAGTTGGGAAGTTTTGCAGGCTGCAAGCAACTTCTCTGTCTTTTTGGCGATTGATGATAATACTGGCTGTTGAGCCTGCAAATAACACATGAGCCCAGTCACGCATTATTTCTCGTGCCCATTCTGTCTACAGTGTTCTTTGTTCTGGTTAGCTTCACACCCAGATCAGCAATGTATAAAAATTAGGCTTGTGCGAATATTCGAATGAATCGAATATTGCACAAGCCTAATTCGAATGAATCGAACAAATAGTTGAGTATTGAAATTTGCTTCGATTCGAATTTAAATTATTGAATACTTTCGAAGTATTCGCAATGAACAAATAGGTGTATATTAATCACCGCAGTGAGAACACCTGCCCCCCAAAATATTGTTTTGCTGTGAAGCCTTTCTTCAAATTTAAAGGGGCCCTGCAACACTTACTGAACACAGTCAGAAAACGCTGTAATCGGAAGTCGAGGCTACTAAAAACACGCGAGGCAAATATTGTAGCGCAGCACGTGGCCTGTAATTCATGATAAATTTTCAAAACTAAATATTTCTTTCTTTCCTCGGCAAATGACACTACAAGCTCAAAAATCACATGTCACAGCCAAGAAGGAATATACAGCTCTGGTCATAGGCATTGGCTGATTTGAAAACGGCGGGCTCATCGTTACAGGGACCGCCGCTTGTCCATGAGCATGTACGCGTATTCGAAAAAAAATTGGCGTATTCGAAAAAAGAAAAAAAGTAGGTGCTCAAGGTCACGAGGTAGATTTGACGTATTTTCTTTCGCCATGCCATTCTTCCAGGCTTAACTTTCAACTGTTTCATCGGGACGAGAAGAGAGAATGAAATTGCAGCCTGCTACAAACTTTTGGAACTCTGCTCATACTGAACTAATTCTAGAAACTTTGCGGCAGTAAATTTGTGAGGCAACAAGCATGTTTACTGGCTCCATGGCTACTTGAAAAAGTGTTGCAGGGCCCCTTTAAAGGAACATGTTACCCTCAGATCAATTATTCATTTTATAAGGCTTATTAGGATGGCTTATATAATCCAAGTACATCATCATCATCATCATCATCATCATCATCAGCCTGACTACGTCCACTGCAGGACAAAGGCCTCTCCCATGTTCCGCCAGTTAACCCGGTCCTGTGCTTGCTGCTGCCAATTTATACCCGGAAACTTCTTAATCTCATCTGCCCACCTAACCTTCTGTCTCCCCCTTACCCGCTTTCCTTCCCTGGGAATCCAGTTAGTTACCCTTAACGACCAGCGGTTATCCTGTCTACGCACTACATGCCCAGCCCATGTCCATTTCTTCTTCTTGATTTCAGCTATGATATCCTTAACCCCCGTTTCTTCCCTAATCCACTCTGCTCTCTTCTTGTCACTTAAGGTTACACCTACCTTTTTTTCTTTCCATTGCTCGCTGCGTCGTCCTCAATTTAAGCTGAACCCTCTTTGCAAGTATTACCTATCTTTATTGTATTACCTATCTCGAAGCGCTGCTCTTTTCCGAGGTTGTTATACATTACTTTCGTTTTCTGCAGATTCAATTTAAGACCTACCTTTCTGCTCTCCTTGTCTAACTCTGTAATCATGAGTTGCAATTCGTCCCCTGAGTTACTAAGTAATGCAATGTCATCGGCGAAGTGCAGGTTACTAAGGTACTCTCCATTAACTCTTATTCCTAACTGTTCCCATTCTAGGCTTCTGAAAACCTCCTGTAAGCACGCGGAGGTTTTCAATCCAAGTACAATAAATGTTAAAACATCAAGTATCTTACAGGTTATCACTCGCATCCTACTGAAACTACTACTTTCTTTGCACGAAAAGAAAATGGCATTTGCATAGAGCCCCTATTTCAATTCAAAAGAAACATTAGGCAGGTAAATTGGGTCATGATAAATATTCTCCTTTTTTTTTTATATGTCAGACATACCATTCGAATTCGATTCGAAATTATTCAATCAAAATCACTATTCGCTTCGAACAAAAATTCACTATTCGCTAAAGCCTAATAAAAAATAGCCACTTGATAAACAATAAGTGCGACCGGCTGCATCACACTGAAACACATGGGCACAAGTGAAAAATCTTGCGTAGACACTTTTGTCCACATTGGTGCTGGTGCTAGCAGACGTACAGCCACACACCTTTACAACAACAACAAAAAAAAAAAGGTTGTGGCTAGCGCGAGACACTGTATTTTCCTGTATATGAGCATGCCAAGGAACCACTGTGTTTCTTGTTACCTTTGAATAGCAAGAAAGGATGTCAATGCCAGCTACCATGAAATTTCATATTGCACTGAATGATATTAGAACAACTTCCGCTTTTCATGTCTTCGTCTTCCGAGAGGTTCTGGAGATTAATTTCTCCCAATACTGTCACCAATGATGTTTTTGAAATTCATGGTATAGAAGCTAGTGATTCTTCTGTTATTTCTAATGCTTCCAACAATCATTTTAAATCTGTTTTTACGAAGGATAACGGAGTACTGGAAACATTTGATATGGCAAACTCACCTCTACCAGATATTGTGATTACCGAAGAGGAAACTTTAAACTTGCTTTTGAAACTTGATGTTAAAAAATCTCCAGGTCCCGATGGAGTGCCAAATGAGTTCCTAAAGCACTATGCGCAGTGGGTGTCAAAGTATCTAAAAATTTTCTTTTCTAAATCTTTTCAAGATGGTCAAGTTCCGGATGACTGGGTAACTGCAAAAGTGAAGCCTCTACATAAGAGTGCAAATCCCCAAAATGTAACTAACTATCGCCCAGTCTTATTAAATTCAACTTCCTGTAAGCTCCTTGAAGATATACAGTCGAATCTCATTAATTCAAACACGCTTAATTCGAACTTCCGGTCAATTCAAACTTACGATGAGGTCCCGTCAAAGCTATATGTATTCCAATTGGCAAAAACGCCCGGTAATTCGAACGCACAAGCACTTGCGATGAATAATTTGAACATACCGCGCTTCGAAAATGCTCTCAGCACCCGCCCAATCCCGTTAAAGAGAATCCGACACCTCAACGCTGCGTGCGAAGAAAAGAAAAAGGAAAGAAAAGGCTGCGGTGGAATGTTTGCGCTCTCTCAAATGCTGATCTGCGACGCGCCTGTACCACGCTTCTCCCTTTTCCGCCCCTGCCATGTAAAGACTCTTCTCCTTTCAACACCGTGCGCAAAGAGACAGAGGAAAAAAAAGAAAGAAAGCTGTCGCGGAGTGCGACTCTCTTTCACACACCTGTGCCATGCTTCCCCCTTTCCCGTCCCTGCCACGTAATCCTTCTCCCTTCAACTAAACGCACAACGAGAGTAAAAAAAATGTTGATTTGCTTCTCTCCACATGGAGATGCTCCTCCTTTTTTGTCACGTGCTGGCCACGCTGCGGCTTTGGCGCAGAGGGTAGTAGCGGAGATGCAGTCGTTGTTGTCGTCGTCTTTAGATAGAGAGTGTCGGGGCTAGACATAGCCGGGTGCAACTTCTTTTGCCAGAAGAATGCTGAAGCGAAAGCAGACATGCTTTGCAAGCTGCGTGCGAAATTGATTGACTCACTGCAACGCAAACCTGTGCAGACGTGCATCACTGATTACTTCTATTATTGACGAATGTCCTGTCATTTGTGAATAAATGTAAGTCTTCTGAAAGTTCTCTCTCGTGTGTTAGCTTAATGCACATGCGCCACTGCATAGGGAGCCCTCCATTTACTTAGCTTTCATTAATTCGAACTTCTTTTATTTTCAATAAATTTTTGGGCCCCTTCGAGTTCGAATTACCAAGATTTGACTGTAATACATAAGCATATTTCTGAATTCCCAGATGAGCACAATATTTTATCAGACTCACAGCACAGATTCAGGAAAGGATTTTCTGCCTATACTCAGTTGGTAACTACAGTGCATGAATTTGCATTAGCTATAAATATCAGAAAACAAGTAGATGCAATTTTTATAGATTTTGCAAAATCTTTCGATATGGTCTCTCACAGTAAGTAGCTGTTAAAATCTGGTTTAATTCTTAAAAATACTCAGCTTCTAAATTGGATTTTTTTTTATGTAGACAAAGCCTTACCTTTAAAGCATAATATCTTTGCGGGTATGTTCGTTGAATGTGCACCGTTAGGCCGGTGTTATGTATTAAGCGAAGTAGTATTCTAGCCCCACTGTGCAATTGGTGCTAGGTCATGTCTGCCTAAGGCAAGTTTGACAACAAATTGGATTTCCGCTTATCTTTCAAATCGGGAATAATACGTCTTCTTTAACGATCACTGTTCCCATACAGTACCGGTTGATTCAACTGTGTTTCAAGGCTCAGTGCTTAGGCCACTCCTATTTTTGTTATTTATCAACAATATTTCACATAGCATACCAGTAAAAGTGAAGTTATGTGCTAATGACTGCATCCTGTACACAGAGATAGATAGAAAACCAGACAGACCAAATCTATTTGAACGATGCATTTCAAA